CTCTAAGAAAATGTGACATGCAAAGTAGAGGAAAAATTATTTATAGCCTAGCCACTCTGATCTAATAGCCTTTAAATAGGTAGAAAAATTTTGGGGGTATTAAGACAAGTTTGGCATCTGGAAGAAAGCTGTATCAGTGCAAGACACATACTTTCTAAAAATGACTAAAGGAAGAAAATGTCAAATTAAATACTAATAGAATTTTTAAATGTAGGCATGGAATCATTAAGTTAACTGATTTGACTAATTTTCTATTTAGAGCAATCTAAAATATCTTACCAAGGCTATGTGATTGTAAGAAAAGGGATACAACATTTTTAAAAAGTAAGATATAATATACTTGGTTAATCATTTTACTTTGCTACATTGACTAAGAAATCAAGATAGACGTAATGACAGGATTTTATTTTGTTTTGTTTTGCTTCGTCTTTGCCACTGGCAGTTAAACCCAGGGTCTTTGCACTGAGCTGCGACTCTGGTACTTTTTAAAATTTCTTAAAAATGATTGTTTTTAAATGAAAAATTGAAATAAAATGTTTGTAAATAGGGAAGGGGAGGAGGGGGTGAAGGGAGGGCAGGGACAGGGGAAAAAATGAGAACCAAGACCTGTCATGTAGAAGTACAAGATCCCAATAATGAATGTGACTGTACTGTACACCTAAAATGTACCAATAAACTCAATGTAGGGCTCAAACTTTCAATCCTTTTGCCTTCGTCTCCTAGAAGTCTGGAATTACAAGCAAACGCATTAGGGTCTGGGAAGGACCTTATAGATATTAGTGCCACCGTCTAATTGTGATTAATTGCCACCCCACCCACTTTCCTAAAAGCATAATTTCTCAGAAAGGAAAATTTCATACTGTTAAAGAAATTAAAGGCAGTAACAGCAGCCTTCAACAACCACCAGATTAGGTAGGAACATCACTTTGGTCATGTTAAAGGACCAGAGAAGAAAGGAAGAGGTCAGCAACACCATGAGGAAGGCACTGGGCACAGAGGAGCTAACCGTGTCAACCGTTAAATGTGAAAACCTTTCATCTACAATCCAGAAAGCAGATAACTCGCATGAGGGAAAAAGGTTGCTTGTGAAGTAAAAGTTCTTCAGAAGAATTCCGAGGCAGTCAGATAATTGATTAGGGTCCCCTAAACTGGAAGAGTCAATTAATTTACCAGAAATATGTAAATAACATGTTAACATCTGAAATACAAGCTAACAGCTTTTGGAAAACTCTCCAATAGAGCAGGGATGCCCCAAATGGAATGGCCTTGGAGAAACTGAAAAACCAAATTCTGTACTCCCATTCCGGCAAGTATGTTCCCTTTAAGCCAACATCTTGAGCTCTAACAGCTGAAACCAAGTCATTTTAAAAATACAATAAATGCTGAAGCTATAAAGACTGTGGAAACTTACTTAACAGCATGAGCTAAAGATAACCAGGAATTTGCCACTGGGAACTATTTAATGCTTTTGATGGAGCTGTAGCGTACAGGGCCTGAGGTAATTGATGTACAGAATGAACGAGCTAATAAATACTAGCTCTAGAATTTCTATGATTTAAGGGGGATGGGAGTGTTAAACTGATGGATAAGTCCCGCAATGCTTTTCTTTCACAAGGTCTGCTAAACCTAGTTGACAATCATATTTCAAATTCATTCATAAGGTCCCTCTAGAAGAATAAAACACAAGTGTCATGTGTCTGGACAGTCACCAAAAAACAGAACAAAAATGGTGTATACATGCTCAGCATTAAGAAGTGTGCTAAACCATTACTTCTGGTGAATCCATTTAGCATGGTTTTCCTGGAAATTTAGATTGTTTCTAACCCGCAGCTTTAAAATGTGCTTTAATAAATTCTAACCGATAGTAACTGAGCAACAGGAAGGACTACGGGCAGGAATAGGGAGAGTTATTCATCTCTCTTGATTTTGCTTCTTTGTGCTTTGCATTGTTTTTTCATTTGTTTGTTTTAGTTTTGTTTGTTTTTTAACATGAAAGGTGATTATGAGAGTTTGAAATATGCTAGGACACCGAGTCTGAAAGCTTAAATACTAGCAAAATCATCCCCATAGGACTGGCCTCATACTGATTCACTGTTTGTGTGTTACAACCCACCCTACAACTCAGTAGTTTCGAGCAGTAATAACCCTGTATTATTTCTGGTGGCTTGAGAAGCTCCAGGACTGTGCTGCTGAGCAGGGCTGGGCTCCGCCCGTTTTTCCTGAGCTTGCTCCTACTCCCATTAGGTGGCTGCTCAGCCACAGGATGGTGCCCTCAGGATGCGCTATGTACTTAGCTTTATTCACACAATTTTTTGTTTTAAATCTTCCAGCAGGCTGTCTCGGGCTGGATCTCATAGTGGTGGAAAGCTTCAAAAGAAACCTAGAGCAGAATGAACTTCTCTGTCTTGAAACCTGGACTGGAAGCTGGCCCATGATTATTTTTGCCACATTTTATTAATCAAAGCAAATTACAGGCCCAGGCCCATTTCCAGGAGAGGTGAGAATAAAATGACCACGAGAGCAGCTACAAAGTCTTAAATAAAGGATGTGAATATAGAGAAGTGTAGAAAATTTGGGTCATTGTTGCAATTGAAGTCACAGGGGAAAAATTGCAATGAACACAGGAAACCCAATTTATATATAGACATGCAAAGCCAGTGTGTTCATTCCTATCTGTACTGACATCTTTGACCATGATACTCGCATCTCAAGTATGTCTAGCTGCACTGGGAAACTAATGATGCAAGTTAGACATCCTGGACATGCTTGATTCGAATTCTGGCCCTAAAATTTAATATCTGTGTGGTCCTAGGACAATGTCTTGCCTTCCCCTGCCTCAATAGTCTCAACTATAAAGTAGTCTTGTCTGAATAATGCCTCCATCAAACTGTTAGTGGGAGCCTAGATTTATTTAAAGTCTTTGTAAATAGGGGAAGGGGAGGGAGAGGGCAGGAACAAAGGGAAAAAATGAGAACCAAGGCCTGTCATGTACAGGTGCAAGATCCCAATGATGAGTGTAACTGTTCTGTATACTTAAAAAGTACCGATAAACTCAATGAGAAAGAAAGCTTTTTGAACAAAGCCTAAAACATAGTCATTGGCTACATTTTTGGTGGTTTTATCATTAGCAGTGATAGGAAAATTGTTTTAAAAGATACAAATTATAAGAGTATGGCACTCAAGTGTCTTTCCAGCCGGACTTGCAAATGATCAGGCCTAATATCAATCATGAATGGGGCTGGGGATTTAGCTCAGTGGTTCCACCGCCTGCCTTGCAAGTGTAATGTCCTGAGTTCAATCCCCAGGACCCCCTCAAAATAATAATAATAAATAATAACAAATTTATGAAGTAAAATATAATAAAAAATACATGTGCCCTATGTAGCCTAGGTTTTAACTATATCTAAATTATTGTATTGAATTCTTGCTGAATCCTTCCAAATAGAAAATAGGCAAAATTTATGAAGGCTCTGTTCTTAACTTTTTGCAAAAAAAAAAAAAAAAAAAAAAACAGGAAAAAAAAAAAAGGATTCTGAGTTCATTTCAGTGAATTTTAAAGAAAGGCTTTATCAAAGTAACCTATAATTACAGCACTACTCTCCAGATAGGACCAGGGGGAAATACTCTAAATCAGATTTTTTTTTCATGGAATTAGAGGAAAAATATTCCCATCCCGTCATCCCCAAATCTCACTTCCAATCCCCTCACCCATTATCCAGTAAAGCCATAAAGGAATCAGATCTAAAAATCTCAAGTTTGTGGGTTATAAAAAGAACATATGCTATTTGTGGGTTGAAAACGAAGGTAAAGCTAGCTCCCTAACCATAGCTAGGTAGTATGTATCAAGCACCTATCACTTGAAAGAAGGGTGGCAGCACCTCTGTGAGATGAAATACAGGGAAAATCTGGGGAAAGAAGGATGCCAAGTCACCAGAGAAAACAATTATGCTTCCAAGCAGCCAGAACATATGCCTGGATGCCCAGGGCTTAAAAGAAATCAGAGCGTGTGAAAAGAAAATCAGGCTTCAGATCTAAAGGAAATCATTTTCTTTGTATATCGTGCCTGCAGTTTTGATTCTTTTTTATCTCAATAGAATTTGCATGAGCCATTTCAATTCATTCTCCTTGCAAAGATACAGCACATTTACCAGCGTGCTGATATTCTAGTCAAAGAACTAGAACTTGACACATCTCTTTCAGTCTCTTTCAGCAGGATGGACGACATTAAAAACAAAACAAAACAAAACAGCTTCTGAGCTGCAAGGAAGGAGAAGCTAATATTTATTGAGCACTTGATATATGGCAAGAAACTGACAGATAACTTCACATATCATGTTACCTGAGTCTTGGTGCAATCTTATAAAATATTGATCTCATTCTACAGATGAGAAGTTCAAAAGCTCATATAATTTAGCTAAGGCCATCCAGTAAGGCTTTCATTGGCACCAAAGAAGATAGTGTGTTTGACAAATTACAGCAGCAGGTAAATAGCATGCATGGAATTAACTCCCATTTCCAACATTTTTAATCCCCTTTTTGCGATACTTTCTAAAATAACTGTTTTACCTTTACTGCACCCATCTCCACTGATACAAATGTCTCAGACAGAAAGATCTAGCAATGTCCCTATTCCCTTTCCTCCCCCCTCATCTCTCTCAATCTCTCTCTCTCTCCCTCCCTCTCTCTCCCATGAGCGCACGTGCACACACACACACACACACACACACACACACACACACATGCACACCTACAATAAAATCAGGAGTTGGAAGGGGACAGGGGATAAAAATGAAGGTTTATGTATGAAAGAGAATGATGTATGTATGAAAGAGACATAGATGAAAGTTGCTCCACAATCCTCTGTCCTAATCACCCTGAGCTTTTCAGGTACTCATTTTTAATTATAGTGGACCTTGACTTAACGAACTCAATCAGTTTCCCAGGGCTAGTTGTAACGCAAGTTGGCTGTGAGCCAATACAGCTGAAATCTAGACGTTTACCTGGGTACTCACTGTAAATAACAAGAGGCAGGTGAATCTCCTATTAACCTTATTAACCCAAGTTGTTCGCATGTCAGGCTGGTTGCAACTGGAGGGTCCGCTGTACTTGTTTACTGCCACGTGCTATGTGTTACCTATGCGGGAGGAAAAAAAGCACCTTAGACCACAATGACTCCCCTTATTCTTTCAATCTCAGGAACAGTGAATTGCCAACATATAAATGCAAACACCTTGCAGATTTAAATTGAGATTAACCGATGAATTTTAAATTTCTTTTAAGACACAAGTATCTTGTAAATTGGGTTTGAAATAGTTCTGCCCTTTAAGGAAGTTCAGGTGGTTTAACACGTTCACCAGGAGACCCTATTTTGCCGTAATCTATATGTCTCGCTGCCAGGCAGCTCGAACCACCGGTGGTGCATGCGCAATTGTGTACCCCTTGTACCAACAGTGGTCCGAGCTGGCCAATGGGACGGTCACGCACATACCACTGCTGGTTCAAGATGGTGGGAACGTGTTAATTGTGAGTCGTGTCTTCACTTCCGGAACTGAAACCTCTACAGGGGCACTGAAAGTGAGAAAGGACCAGCTAGTACTTAGGTAAGTAATAGATTATGAAATGGGCGTCCGTGTTCCGGGTCGATGCAAACACACACGTGTCGGTGTCAATATAGTCACCTCCGAGAAGTCTGCGGAGGCTTATGGGAAGATCTACGCAGTAAGTACACTGACGAACACTTAATACGAACATGTAATTCAATCTCATCAGGTGTTTGTAAGGCACCACGCTGCAAGATGTGATGTTATTTATCTGTTTTACATCAAAGGTCTCTGAGACATGAACAGAATATTATGAGTCCCTTTAGAAACACGTGAGACCAGATGCCCCATGGTTTTCTCTCTTGGTGCCCCTTCCACAATCATAAAAAAGGGAAGCCACCGGACGCTAGAGTCCAGAATTACCAAGCTGGGCTGCCGTCACACAAAAAACTTATGGTTCAGCCTTTTGATTGCTTGTTTCCCTAACCAGGTATCAAATGATGCCACATGTACTAAGCTAAACTATGTAATCCTAAACTATGTAGTCCTAAAGTAAACACAGTTACTGCAGTGAAGATTAAAAATCAGAGTAACTTTCTTTAAAGGAAGTTACATTTTAGAGACTCTCTTGCAGAGAGAATATCAATTCCTTGTGAGACCTCAGGGCCTAGGCCAGGGCACCTCTGTGTACTTTTATTTGCTACTTAGTTAACTTCCAATCCAGCTTCCTACAGGATCAGGCAGGTAGAGTTTGTTTGGCCACAGCCTGTGCTGGGAGTAAATTCCGATTCACTTTCAAAGTGTACCCAGGAAGACACTGCCACTGAACTCATTTCGCCAAGCAAACAAAACTGTAGCCTGGACACCACTGTGGCTCTTTCAGGCCTCTTCATTGAGAGATAAAAGCCTCCTGAGCTAAATATTAGGTTTTCCCCAATCAGTCAATATGTGATTCACATTAGCAAAGAACTTACTTATTCCAGCTCAATGCTAGGGTTATTGATCAGGGGAAAAAAAGTGCCCGCATGTATTTAAATGGTTTGTTTCTTCTGAGAGTTTTATTTTAAGGGGAGTTGATTTTTATATTGCATAAACTGCAAGCAATGGTTCTCTCTGCCATTAGCTTCAATCCTGTTCAGTGTTGCTGGGAGATAACAAATCGGCAGGCTCAGAACAAGCAGAGGCTCCCCAGCAAAGGTGCGAAGACCATTAGGGCTTCCAGGAGACCCTCACCTTAGCACGGAGGAATGAAGCACCAACAGGTGAGTGGAGCTACAGCCTGAATGAATTCTGTTATTTGGGAAGTAGGGATTCTTAGAGTTGACTGAATAGCCGAGGAAGCCTTAAGGGTGTTGTTAAAGCGCCTGCTGTCCCGAGTGCCTCCGCATTTCTTTCCCGTTTATCCAAACCCTGGCAGTCCTCTCCGGCACTGACTGTCTTTCACCTTTTCTGTGGCGGTTTTCCCCTCAGAGCAGCAGTGGCGCCCCCTCCCACATGGCCCCAGGGTGACGCGTGGAGCGGTGATGAGGCCATGGCCCGGTTCGGCTGTCTGTGTGGTGTGGGGAAGGGCACGACCCCTCTCATCCTTTCTTTCCTCCTCTCAGATTCTCATCTATTGGTGCTTGACCTCCTCAAATGGTTGTAAAGATTAGATTTAAAAGTCTGGATAAAGATTGGGTCCGCAACCTCAAGCAATGTATCATATCCCCTCTTACTTGTTATTTACTATTTGTTGAATGGGTTCTTCATCTCTAAAGGGACTCTGAGCTCCAATGCTTACTTGCGCTGATACCTTGTGACCCCTACTTCAGTGCTTTGCAACCTTAGCTGCTCGGCGCTGGAGACAGACGGCCCACGCTTTAGCCAGGGTAATCAGCTGGAGCAGAAAGAACGCTGCTGCAGCCCAGAGGTCAAGGTCGCCAGGAAACATGTGCAGCCTGTGTGTGGCCAGTAGGTACGGCGACGGCGTGGTATAGACAGAGGGGAAGGGCTTTGCTGGAGCCAAGCAGGAAGGAAGTAGTTTTAAAAGCGAAAAAGAAGGGAGAGGGAGACAACTGCCCTACATGACGGGACTAGGGGGCCTCCAAGAAGTATGCAGATTTGTGTGGCTCATTCAAGGCAACGGAAGCTAGACAAATAATTCCTCACAGTTTGTCCATTGTGTAGAGGGACCAGCAGTTTCCCTCATATGCAAAGGATGAGTGTCGAAGCTCGGAGGGAGATCGTTCTGTCGGGGGTCACGCTGGAAAAGAGAGCTGGGAATGGAGGCAGGGCCATTGGTATAAAGCTGTGAGAGTCTGCGTGCCAGAAGGGCGCAGCGCCGTGGAGACTGGCGATGACCACGCTGCAAGGGGTGGGCCAAGGTACAACCCCTTGTCATATCTGGGGAGGCGGTGATCGAAATCACAGTTGCGTGGTAGGTTTGGCTGACTCTTCTGGATTGGGCGCAGACTATTGATGAACTCAGGAGGAAACACTGCTGGCCCCGTCGTTAAGCATCCTGTGTCACTCACTGTTATCTTTTATTCTTTGATGAGATCTCTCTGTCTCATTCTGCAAACTCTCCCCCTCACACTGGGTCGCTTCCAGAGAGCTCTCTCTCTTGGGGGTTGGATGTGTGGCGTTTGTTCTGTCGTCACTCCGTTCCCGGTGCACTCACTCAAAGGCAAGTCTTAGACGGAATAATAAACAGGCCAGGTTCTAGGAAACCGGCGGGTCTTCTAGGCAAGGCAGACAAGCACAGGGGATGGTGAGCAGCGTAATGAACGCAGTGGTGAGTTACCTGTTAAGCACTATGGAAGGAGAAGCCATTTCCACAGCTGCCATGACGGGCTTCTCAAACAAGTCTCTGAGCTGAGACTGGGAAGGTGGGAAAGGGTGGGCTGGAAGGAGGCAGAAGACAAGAGCCGTCCTCCTTGGTGAGTGCAACAGGCTCCAGTGTGCCGAGGGGCGAGGCGCATTCCCAGTCTGAAATTCACTGCACAGAAGCACAATTCAGGCTATCACAGAGGCAAGAAAGAACTGGAGGGACACACGGGGGACAGTCCAGCCACAGCTGTGCAGGCCAATCCTGGAGTGACAACCAACAGACAGGACTTGACTGGACGTAGGTCAAAGTCTGAAAAGAACCTCAGTGAGAAAAATGAGGCAAAAGAAGGTCTCAGAGAAAAGCAGAAATTGAATTTTGTTTGATGACGGATTATGGCACTTGAGAAAGGTCTAGATGAAAATACTGAGTGGAAAACTGGATGCCCCAGGAGCTCCAGGTGCTAGAGAGAAGGAAATACTGCAACAAAATAAAACAAAACAAACACCCCCCATACACAGGCACAGAGAAATGATTTATACCACGCAATGAGAGTAGGTAGGGTGAGAATAGAGGCCAGAATTATGATTATTTAAAGAATACCAGATAGACACAGAAACAGTGGCCAGAGAGGTACAAAGAAAGTCAGGAGAACTTTTTATGGAAGCTAACAGAGAAAAGAGTTTCCTTTTTTTTTTGTACCCGGGGATTGAACTTGGGTCCTTGGGCTTGCAAGGCAGGCCACCGAACCGCTGAGCTAAATCCCCAGCAGGAAAGAGTTTCTTACGAGAAGTGATCCACGGTAACAAATGTCACTTGGCTGGAAATGCACTTTTCAGCTTGGCATCTCAATCTCATCACAATTCTCTTGAAAAATGTCCACTTCCTAACTTGAGTATTGACAGTCGCCTTGCCCCACCCTGCTTACGATTTTAGATCTTCAGTGACTCAGAATTGCCAGAGGATAAGCAGATACAAGCAGAATTGCAACTTCTGTCTCTTTCGAGAGAGCGTGGTGCCCACAATGAAAGTAGAGGTGGGAATTAGAGACAGGGTCCAAGGGCCAGCCATGTGTTCATCCTGAAAAGGTGACTCCACCCTTCTTCCTTCCAGGGAGAAGAAATATTCAGAATATTTTCTTAGTCCTCCACACTGCCTATTCCTTACCTCACCACTCACCTGCCGACAGGGACTTACAAATCTCTGCGCTGTTTACACTCTGTCTCTCCTAGCAAAGTTGACTTTCCTCGACCATGGAAGGACACACTAACTATGGCCAGTTTTATTAGAAAGACTTTCTGTCACAGTGCGACAAGACTGAGCAAACTCGGGAGTCCATGCCCAAGAGATCAGGTACTGAAGTCTCAAATCAGTGAAGTAATTTCTAGAATGATCATTCATTAGTTTTGCATTAAAAAAGGACATGTATTTCTATAATTTTGCTTAAAGACATCTCATAGTATTTTGGGCTTATCCATTACCTACTACAGTATAACAAACAAACCACATTGAAATTTCGCAGAGTAAAGCAATACTGAATTATTGCTTTGCATATTGAATTTTGAACTGAATCATTATTTTTTTTATGACGATGCGGATCAAGTGGTGTTTTCTGTTCAGCTCGCCTGGACTCACCCACGTGGCTGCGTTCGGGGGCTAGATACATTAATGTGGAAGGGCCAAGGTGGCTGAACTCACCTGTCTGGTAGTTAACCTGCCTGGGGCTGGGACAGCTGATTCTCCTCCACTCAGACCCTATCTCCCAGCATAGACCAACTTCCTCCCACC